GCCAAAAGACCCGCTAGGAGCTTGCACGCAAAGACGCAGTAGTTGTGCGACTTGAATGCCTTGAAGCTCTCGTCTGTCACGGACCTTCGCTCTCGAGCGAGAATTCCGGGACTGATATCCCATTTGAGGCGGAAGCGCAGATGTAGCTGACCGCCCACTTCCCTCGCGCTCAGAAGCTTGTGCGGATCGACCGCTTCTGTGGTCATGGAGAATATGTTGACCATGAGCGCTGTTGTACGAGCGAAGCTCGGGTCTGGCTGCCGCGCTTGGTGGATGTTCATGTTGGCTTGGATTTGCTTGTCGTGTGCGGGTACGACGGGGAAGGTATTGATGAGGAGGCTTTTGGAGATGAGGAGCTCGAGAAGGAGAGGAGCTTTGAAGACAGGGTGAGGGCGGGGTGGGCGGCGCTCATCAGTGGTGAAGCAGAGATATCGAGCCTGGTGTTTTGGTCTCGCGCTAGCCCCCCGACGCTCCTCCGCCGGACTGACAAACGCACCAACGACTATCTCTGCGCTCGCATTACTGAATCCTGGTCCAATATTGATAGCACATGAATAGAGACTTCACGTCAAGAGTCACTTCAGGGGCGCCGTAAGCGTTCATCTGAATCGTCGAACGTGCAGGCTTTGAGGAGGTCAAAAGCGCTATCAAAGAGCATCGCCAGCTCAACAGTTACATATTGGTGCAGTCCAGGAGCGCAGATACAGCGCTGCCTGCATTCATATCTTTACGTTGCTCCGTGCCTGCCTTCGTGTATGCGCAGAAGGAGACAGTGCTGACAGCCAACACTCTCCTCGGCTCGCAGTACTGATACGATGCTCTCATACTTCTCAAACAAGTCTCATTGCGAAGGGAATTATTATGCGATCCCAAAAGGGAAGGCAGGTCAGGGCAGGAGTTGCAAGATGTCCGCTGGGCTACGTCGCGTCACAAAGCTAGCAATGCTGGAGCAGATAGTCTGCATTCTAGGAATGTGAATGAAGCAAAAGTCGACGCTGAAAAGACACAACGCGCTCGTCGCGATCACATCTGGTTAATGCCGATTACTGTCGCCAGCGAACAGCTGGGAGCTCTTTGTCGGCGCTTTCCAGCAGCAGGACGGATGAATGTAGGGGAGATGCTGCAGGCCACAGATATCGTTGTAAGAATAGAGTAAAGGGCATCTGGTAAGCGTTCTGACTGAGCAGACGCGGAGTTATGCGCAGCAAAGGCAGTGAAGTGCAACTTCGGGGGATGGTGTCACCGAGCAAAAACGCTGGTACAAGACTCAGACAAACACCACGAGACTGCCTAAAAGCCGCAGTAGAACTTCCAAGTGCTCGTTTGGGCGGTATACGAGCAGATCGAGCCAATGTTATGATGGGGAACGCGTCATTCTCCGCACTGTCACCTAGCCAATCTCCGCACCCCCGCCGCACTTTGTCAGGGAAAAGACAGAACCAAAAAGAACAGTTTGTCTCAACCAGTTTGCTACTCTAGAGAATCGAATTAGCAAAAAAACCTGTATTCATAACTTTATAGTGCCTGGACACTGTCGTGTGGAAAACCTGGATATGTTAGCGGAAGTCTTGTAGGTAAACAGAAGAAGCAACTATCTACCTGCACCATCCTAGTGATGGTGGGCCTAACTACGGTACAAAGTACACATCCTTGCCCCGGATGGTGAAATGTAGATCCATTAGATGTATTATATGGTCAAGTGGTATCTGCGGGTATAGTGGGGCAGAAGATTCTATGGCCAGTCTCGTGGGGGTGAAGGACTGGCCAGAGCGGGCACAAACATTGAGCTCGTGCCCCTTCTGAGTCCCCCGCTCGCTTGGTAAGCCCCGTCACTTGTTTTGATGAGGCTGCGATGGTCGTGACACCGGCTACTGGTGTTTGACGCGTCACTGAGGATGGCTTCCAGCTTGTCAGCGCTTTTTGACCTGACGATGGCTTTGACTTCATCAATGAGCCTTTCCCGCGCTTAAGCATGCTCTGAGCAATCTCCGCGTCTACATTATATGCTCCAGTTGCCTTAATATGGTCTAGTCAGCTCCACGAGTTTATGCGCCAGCCTTGATGTTCACATCACGTCACTCCATGAGGCCGGGTTTCATCTGCAATCTCTGTCCTTGCGGCATGTTGAAATCACAAACACGATTTATATCCGTGCCAATTTTCCGGCAGATCTGAGCCAGTGGTCTCACGGCATCTAGAAAAATGCTCAGTCTGCCAGCCTGTCGCGCAGCTTGATGCTGGTGACGTTGTGTAACATTCACGTCGTCAATCATCATGTCGAGCTTGGAGGAGACATCATGATATGTACAGTGCTGTATTGATCTGCTGAGCGATTGTATGATGCCACTTCTACTACCGGAGACAGCGCGCAGGCTGATCTCCTTGCGCTGGTCTAACTGCCCCTTGCCCTACGCGCCGGCCTCCTTCCTACTTGGCTTCCTTCGAAGTGTCGCCCTGGCTATCGTTCCATATCCTTCGCATCGATGAGGGTGTTATGGGAAGTCGCGATCGGAAGGTAGGCGTGGCTCTCGGCCAAAGATGACCGAGTTAGTAGTGATCATGTAGAGAATGTAGCGATCTTTCGGCCAAAGATGATCGAGTTAGTAGTGATCATGTAGAGAATGTAGCGATCTTTCTTCGTGTTTCTCCACACGAGGCCGAGGCGTGAGTAGAGAACAAATGACTGAGCGACGACGAAGACGAGCCATGAGAGATTGATGAAGACGATGGCCGAGTAAGAGGTATAGCAGTCATGTTGTCCGCGCGGTGGACCTTGAGTCAAAAGGGATGAGGAGCCTGCATTTTGTCAATTCATTGTTTCCAGATCAAGACAACTCGCGTACCAACATAGCCTCCCTGGGCCTTCATACCGGAGTCTTCTTCTGGCGGGAGGCATGCATGTATGAGCCAGGCTTGCCATAGCCCTTGTAGTCTGCCACGACGTTGGAGTGCCACCTGCCCCTCGTGGCCTCACGAAGATCTTCGAACGCCTGAGCCCATCCAAGTATTCCAGACCTCTGCTGGTACAGTCTCATGCTGCGCACTATCGTATCGTCCATTTCCTTCTCGGTGACCTTGGCGCCAGCAACGGCCAGGAGCGTCTCCACAGTGCGTGTCTTCTGGAAGACTAGGGCAAGAAGGAGCAGCGGGCTGTCGTCCTCGAACAGATGTGGCGCGTTGGTGAGCATCCATCGGTGCAAGTAGAAGTACCTGAACGAGATCTCCGTGGCGGGCCCCGTCAGGAGCATGTCCGCGTCGGCGCTCGCGTCAGCCTTGTTGGCTTCATTGAAGGGATAGTCGTGCATGCAGGCGGCCACGCTCGAGACGTAGGTTCCGCTGCCCTTCTTCGTGTGGGGAGCTGCTCTGATGCGAACGCGACAGAGCGGATGTTTGCCCTTTGGCTTGATTCGACATGCATCCTCGATGGCTGTAGGAGCGGTGGGCCATTCTTTATCCGCCGCCAATGTCTTCGTCTTCGTGTAGTAATTCTCTGGCAGAGAACTAGATTCGCGCGTTAGCTGGCTCATTGATAATTTGAGCTTCTGGTGAACTCACTTGAGCTTCGCCATTGGGTCTCCGCCGTAGTGGTTGGTGCAGTCAGTCAGTATTGTCTCCAAGACCTGCTTCTGAGTAACGATGGCCGCCATGTTGTTTGTGGAGAAAGGACTTGACTGAACTTTCAAAAGATGGCGGGTCAGTCCGAAAGTCTGGTCAAAGTTGTAAGTAGACAGGCTGCTCTGGGACTATGCGCGTCCCCGTTTACGCGCTAGTTGTGGCACTCAGACGCCCACACCGAGAGCAGATGTGAAGGCAACTCTCACTACCCTCTCCATCTTCTGCTATCAATCTGATACTTTCCCCCCACAATCATGGCCACTGAGTCTCCTCAAGCCGGCGTGCGCGTCGCAGCTACCCTTCCAGCCCTTTCTCTTCGCCAGATCCTTCTCGTGCATCTTATCATATTTCAAGAGGCGCTATTTGGCTGCCATGTCTTCGGGATCAGGATATCATGGCTAAACCGAACGTCACAACCCGGTGTTCCGGAAGCGCTCTTCGACTACGATCGATCGGAATTTGGGAGCCCGGATCCAACACGACTGAGCCCAGGGAGTGAATATCGCGCAGTGGTCTTCAAGCACTATTGCGAGACATTTTGCATCATGATGAAGCCTTTCGTAATCCGGTACCTCTGTGGTAAGGAACAAGGCCCGTTGGATAGTATGCGCGCTCGAACAGTGACTGACAGCGAGCAGAGCTTCTCGGCACTGGCTACACGGTTACTTGGATCAACTTCATAGCCAAACCGCATTTTCGCATACTCGCAGATTGGGCAGAGATGAACCAATTGATATATCACTCCTGTCTATTGGTATCCAATGGTAACGGTGAGAACCACGTCTTGGATGGCACTGCCGATCAATATGGACGAAACTGGAAGACACATTGGTTCATGACAGGGAAAGAGCTTATTGCAAACTTTCTGGATCCCAAGTACTCAAACCCGAGGGAAATTTGGACAACGAACGAACAGGGGGAGGTCGCCAAGTGCGAGAGGCTTGAGGGCAAAGATTGCAGCCATGGATACTGGGCGGTCGGATACTGGGTAGTCGCGCGCAGGCGTATGGAGCAGATATTCCGGGAGCTGAACTGGACATCTCTCCGTGGGCTGTCGGACGACGATGTGGAGGAACGTATCCGTTCCCTGAGCAAGGCCAAGTTCGAGGGGGCATTTGCGGAAGCGCAGTCGAAATAGACGAGCCTTCCTTACGCGGCCCTTGATAGGCTAATGACTTGGACACAGTAGATAATACAGTAAAGTTCTCATGCATCTTGGTAATCGTGAATCGTCAGTGAAGGTGCTCCAGAACTGACAGGGATGCACTGACGTACCTTTAGCGCTAAAATCCAAAGACAAATTGTGGCTGCCCCTCCGTACCCTCACAGCCTCCAGGACACCAAAACACTCGGGCAGAAGCCGTCCTCCTGCTCACATCTCCATCATGACACCGGTCAATCCCACCACCACCGCACCACCTCTGTCCCTGGAAGAGGTCCTGCACGTTTACCTACGTTGTTTCGACGCCGCCGCTGACGCCGCCCCACGAGCCTCAGCCGCATACGCACGGGCGTACAGAGCCAACTCCGTGCCATTCAAAGTGTGGCAAGTCTGGTCGACCGAAGACCTGAAGACCGACCCGCCCAAAAAGCTTGAACGCTTCTCCTTCCTGCCGCCGGGGCTCAACGAAGCACTCGCGCGGCAAAACATGTGTGATTGGTTCTGCATGGTCCTCGAGGAGGAGGTGGATAAGAAGGTCGGGGAATTGTTCCGTGGGCGCGCAGAATGGCTGAGATGTTGGCCGAGGGTCAACTTCATGACGTCTTGGCGCATTCTGAGGCATAAGCCCGTCGCGGTGCTAATGCACTCGGTCCTGCGAGTCACGACAGAAGACGGCCAGAGGGTGGTCATGGACGGTACCCTGAGGCAATTTCGTTGGGCGCAGTCGACTTGGCTCCAAACACGGACACAGTGGTGCGCCAAACTCCTAGACACCACCAAGGGGGACAATGGCTGGCATTTCGTTTCGAGCGAAGCGAAGCAGAAGGTATGTGAGTACTCTGTGGATGTAGCAGAGGGTTACTGGGCTACTATCTTCTGGAGGCTGAGGGAGTTGTTCCAAGAGCTGGACTGGATGGAGTTGAGGAGACGAGAGAAGGATGAGCGTATCGAGTACGTCGACGAGTTGGCCCGAGCAAAGTTTGCAGACCTTCTCGTAAAGGCATTCGATGTCTGATCAAAGCAAGGACTGAGATGAGGACCGAGAGGAATAGATAGACATTCAACTTCGAAAACGATGAGAAATCATTGAAAGAATACGCATATACACAGTACCTGAGCTATACAAGCCAAGAAGGCGCAGCCCCTACCTCGTTACGCCGTTGGTGCCCACTTGCTCTTCGTTCTGATCCTCGCCCCGAAGATGTAGAACAGAATGGGTACAGGGAGGAATACCACACAGATGAACGCCAGAAGGCTGGTCGCCCATGGTACACCGAGCTTGGTGTACATTGCATGTGTAAACAGTGGAAAGAAAGCGCCCGCAAACGAGCGGATGAAGGTGTTGACCGCGATGGCGCTGTTGGAATAGAAGCCATAGCAGTCGATGAGGTAGCTCATTCCCTGCCAGAAAGGCACCATGCAACCAAATCCGAGAAGGGCGACGGAGAGCACCTGCGGTACCCAAGAGATGTTTGGATTGCTAGTCCAGGCAAACCAGAATAGACCGACAGGAAGTGCGATGGCGCCGAGTATCATGGGCGGCAGGCGTTCCTCCGGGATGACCTTGCCGTGTTTACGAAATGCGCGCGTGAATCCAGTCGCTGAACTGTAAGCAATACATCCAGCGCCCATCAGAATGCCAACTATAAAGGCGCCGAACGGGAGCTGCGAGACCCCTAGAGACCAGCCACGCTCCTCGTAGAATGACACGGGAAACTATCGGTTGTTAGATCCTGGTAACAAGAAAGGTATGAATACAGACTCACAGCTTCAAAAAGTAGATAGACAATGCCGTACAAAAAGCTCATGTACGCTGTCACCAACGCCAAGATGGGCTCCTGGAAGAACATGATGAATGGTCGTAAGAGGTAAACGTTCAGTACTTTGTCGAGAGTCAACTTGTTCTCGTCTGCAGCAGCGTGGTATTCGTTGTTGCCCGTGTCTTTACGCAACTTTGCGGCTCGCAACTGCAGAATCCTGGCAGCAGAAGTCTCTGGTATGGCGAGGAAGCCAATAACGCCAAACAGGCCGGCCATGATGAGGGTGATCCAGGACGTCCAGCGCCAGCCAAGATGCGACTCGGCGATGAAGCCACCGGCAATGGGTCCTGCCACCGGACCAGCGAATCCACCAGCGGCAAAAATGCAGATGGCATACGACCTGGGGATGGGATCCCACAAGTCTGCGAGAGCTCCACCCACGACTGCCAAGGGTGCAGAGGCGAAGAGGCCACCAAGGAAACGGCCTACGCATATCGTCGTTATGTTTTGGGCAAGAGCGACTGGGATCTGGAAGATAGCGAAGAGTGCGAAACCGAACATGAGGGGGATCTTCCGACCCAGAACCTCTGACATTGGCCCGAAAGCAATCGGTCCAAATACGAATCCCTAAACCTTTCATATTAGATATTGGAACTCTGGCTGCCGAATAGGGCCTCAACGTACCAGGACGAACAAGGCTACTCCGAGAGTGGCTGTGACCTTTTCGACCTGAAACTTCTCCTGGACAATCCCGATGTTGACACTGAAGATAGAACTGGCGAATGTGACCGTGAAAACCATGAGGCCCATGGAAACTGTGATACACCATCTTCGTTTGGGCGTCCAGTTCTTCGGGTTGCCGGGGTCTTTGGGTCCATCGAACTCCACGAAAAAGCGATCTGTTTGTTCTGGTGGCGTAGTGCTGTCTGAGCCCTTCTCCAGGCCATGCAAGGCGTCTTCTTCGCTCTTTCTGGAACTGTCCTCTGTTACATCCAGTGTCTGCTCTGGGGACGTCCGAGGCTGTGCTGATGGTGGTGTAGACCGGGGGTCTATGCTGTGGTCTGTCGTCATGCTAGAAGAAGCTTTGAGGTCGGTGATACACAGGCTTGGCTACGGCGACGGGGAATGGAGTATTTGTAGGATTCTACATGTCGGGCTTGTGGATATGTCATTATTCCCGGGGTTTGGGCGGATTTAACGATAAGGAAGCAACGACCTGCTGCAGCCGCCCCTTGACCCACCTTCAGCGCCGGGCCATCTACGCGAAGGGCGACTTGGCGTTTTACTGACGGCCTGGTCATGTCGCGCCATGGTGAGGCTCCGCAGCTGGAATGTCTGAACGCGCCTTCACGCGGAGGAAGGATGGCGAGGAGAAAGGGGAGGTGCTGCGTCATCGATTTGTTGGGGATGATGGGGGCACTTTCCCTGAAGCCGACAAGCGCGAGCCATGGATGCGGCTACTTTTCCGGGCGACCCACCAACTCTCATCCGACCTCATCTCAGTCAGCCCTTCTGTACAACGCGACCTGTTGCCACGCCCTTATTTCTTTGTTTTCTCGCACATGGCGTAAATCGCGCTCGCGCTCTCGGCATCAATTCGACGCGAACCCGTAGGCCACAACGACGCCTCGTACATCAGGGGCTCTGGCAGTATTGCGTCCGCGCCAAAATTTGAAGAAGACGTTTCGCGTTTGATACTAGATGCTCACATCCAGCACCCGTTTACTCTCTGCACATTGACCCTCTTCCACTCAACTTTCTCCAGGTCTTCTCCTACTACCACGCGAGGGGCGCGACGCACTCATGACAGTGTTCACCCAGGATGATACTACGACACGCACGCTTACCGCGATATCACCGTACTGTTGCGAGATTCCGAACACGCCTTCCTCGCCCCAAGAACACTCACTATCTCGGTCGTCCTCCGTTCTTTCGCATACCAGTCTAATTTCACAAAGGCTGGCACAACATAGAGGACTACCAGGGGCAAAGACAATGCTAGGGGAGCACGCTGGCCGACATCCTAGAACAATGCGGAGAAGATGAGAAGCAGCGATGTCGTCCGGATAAAGACGCATCAGCGCTGCATGACTTGTGTCGTCCACCTTATCTTGGTTAAGGATTACAGTCTCGCTTGCTACTCTAAGCCCGAGAGTCTATAGGATTACAATCGGTCCTGCTAAATCTGCTCCATCTCTGCGCCAGAGTTGTCTTCCTCGTACAAATCATCAGGATCCACGTCGTCTTCTTGGATGTCCTGCTTCAAAGCTTGCCACATCGCATGCACATCGACACTTTCCAGGTGCGGTATGTCCTTTACCCAAGATTCCTTAAGCTGAAGGAGGAGCTTCCCACAAGAGCGGTCATACCATTCGCGTCCAACTGTAATACTGGATAATTGGAGACAGCGCATGATGTGCTCTTTTGTCACAAGAGTGAGCACAAGAAGCAAGACCCAACTCTCGTCGTGCAGTGTATGTGGTGCCTCGTACACTATCAGTGAAACGATATCTTCCCGGTCTTCCTGAGGAGTATCGAGCAAATCTTCGACGCTCATTTTCTCAAGTTGTTTCCACAGAACCTTGAATGTTTTTGTTGGGTTTACTGGAGGTCGTTGCTCATGTGCTTTCGATGGCAGGAACGCCCTCTCCCAGGGCTCATCATTGGTTCTTGGTCTCGAGACAGGAGATGATGGATCAATCTCTCCCACAAAGCGCAGTAAGATACCAATGTATTCCATCTCCCATTCCGTGGGAAACCCGACTCGGTCATGCACCTTGAAAGGTGTTTCTAGGCCCACTGCCTGAGCCATATCGTAGTGCTCTTCCTCATAGAAGCTGTAATCTCTCAGATTCTTGGCCGACCACCAGCTGGGACGCTTGGCTGCTCGGACCAAGATAGCTTCAAGCATCTGTTTCGCAGATATCGTGCCAGACTCCCTGTGCGGGCCGATGGAAGAGTTTGGTTTCGCTTTTGGGACCGCGCTGGTGCTTGCAGCTTTGCCTTTTGTCGTTTTGACGGTCTCACTTCCGGCAGCACTTTCAGCTTCTTCGGTCGTTGTCTTGTCTTTTCGGCGAAGAGATGTGAAGCTTCGAGTCTTCCCTACCTGTTCCTTCGGCCACGTTTGACCAACAGCATGAAGCGGATCCACCTGTGGATTACCGACCACAACCAGAAACGCGTCGAATATATCCAAGCGGCTCTTGATCACAAGGTTTAGGAGTTTCACTGACCCTACGGTGTGGAGCGCTCTCCAGTCCTCTCTTGCCTGCACGCTGACACGCTTTGGCCAATACCAGGTCGGTGGCTCGGTTCCCAACAGGTAGTTGAAGTTTACGTGACCATCGCCGCCAGCCAAACGCCTTACTGCAATAATCTCACCATCCACGACCGGATCTTTTGTATTCGGGGTTGAGGCTTTCAGCCAGAGCTCGGCCATGTCGCCGGGGATTTTGATCGTGTCGGAATTGGGGTAAGAAGTGCTCTCGTCGGTTGCTGTCGTGGACCTCTCGGGCTTGGTCTGTGGCTCATCATCCTGCTGGACAATAGTTGGCTCTGAGCTATCGTTCGACATGCTGTGCTTGAAACACAGTCACCTGATCAAAGCGAGTAACGAGACGTCGATAGTAGGCATGTCGCACCTGCTTTCTTATACTGACGCCTATGTACCAGCAATCGCATCACAAGCCACTACTTCCAATTGTTACAAGCTTGCTATACATCACGAGTGAGTTCATCAAACGTGGAGGATGATTGGAAAGGATGAAATGTGGCAATTGATGGAAACGACACGTTCTTGCGCCTACCCTCGGCTATCTAGGTCTCATTATCAGCGAACACCAGTCTTCTTGGATATCGACTTCTTCGCCAGTGGCTGCTCAGTCGCTGCAGCGTCATCTCCACTTCCAACCGTGTCAGCACCCTCGTCATGTCCAGAGTCGCTACGTTGTCCACTATCGACATCGGATCGGTTAGCGAGAGGGTTGTCTAGCGCCTCTTTATCAATTTTCTCGCGAACATTGTCTGCTTGCAGGAGTTGCTGTAGCAGATAGAACATATGTACGGCTTGAGGATAATCTGTTCCGGTTTCCTCCTGATACTGGGTCATGCAGGTATGAACAGCGTCCCTGAAGCGAGCATCAGAAGGCGTAAGTGATGCCTCAGATTCCGCGCCTTCCGCCTCGTCCTTCGTAAGTAAGACCAGTGCAAGCAGATAAGGCCATGAGTCTAGCCTGGCAATGTGCGGGCTATCGGTTATCATGCGACGCCCAAGTTCCTTTCGTTCGGCTTTAGTTTGCGACAGGATCACATCTACTGTGGTCGACAGGGGGCCGCCATCATCGTTACCGTTTTGCCAAATGTGGAACCTTTCGAGGAAGATGGCCCATATGTCCATCAGCTTGATACGCCGCGTCATGCCTGTTGATGGTGATGGTGGATTCTCGTTTGCCCCGACAAATCGAATCTTGTCCGAAGAATAGCGCCATACCACGTCTACGCCGTTCAAGATCTCGTCAGCCTTTTCATAAGACTTGCTGCCCTTGATCTTTCTTTTCAAAATGACATCAACGAAATTCTGGGCGGACTTCGGCTTCCAGCTTCTCGCTGTCGCTTCATCTTCGGCTGTTGCGTACTGGTAACTGCCAGCCATTGGTGTGGGTAGCCAAGAGCTGGGCTCAGAGACTTTCTTCAAGATGTATTGGAGTATCACTGATGAGGCAATACCGTCGTTGCCTTTGAAGCGCCTAGTGACCTCCGTTTTGGCTGTGGGTAAATGGGTGACTGGGTTATCGATCAGCACGACCTTGTTCAGAACCCTCACCTGATCCCAGCCATCTACAGCCACATCTCTCCAATCATCCTTTTCGACTTCATCGTATCTCTCAACGGTCTTCTTGTACAACTTCGTAGCATATGTCTTCCTCATCCACTCCAGCTCCCCGTCATCCCATACCAATACCTCCAAATTAGATTTCTTCAGTCTCCTCCTTCGCGCAATGATGATAGTGTTGTCACTTCTCTTTGGACTTTTCTCCATACTCGCGCTGTTTGCCGCTTCCTCAGTCAGCGTTGATCGCACTATATGAAACTTAGACGGAAGTCCCAGATCCCGCGCATCTCGCTGCTCTTCTTCTTCAGCATCGATGGGCACTGTGTCTGTCGCTTTCTTACTTTTCCTCTTACGCCTGCGCTTGTTAAGAGGCTCATTCGTTGGAACAGTTTGATCATCGTCGTCCAAATCCATCTGACCGCTGTCTTCTGATACATCTTTCTCTAGGTCCTGAACCACTTTTCTCTTTCGTAGATTGGAAGGAAGCTTTGCTGTCGGATTGCTAGCAACGTTGCCTGGCTCTTCAGGCGCTTCGATCACCTCAGCATCGTTGTTGTCCTTGTCGTCGTCGTCCTCGTCGTCCTCGTCCTCGTCTAGCAAGGCCCTAGCAAGTTCGAGGGCTTTGGCCATTCCTTCAGATATTTCGTTCCCATGCTTACTGGTTGCAGCTTTGCTGGATGCTTTCTGAGGTCTTGATGGCGCCATCTTCTTGTTCTTTGGTGGTACCTTTGTACTGGCTGGTTTCTCCGAGCCCGCGTCCATTCGTGAAGTCTGTTGCAAGAGATTTGATGTGAATAGGTACAATAAGTACATGGTTGAAGATAAAAGTCCTGTGCTATAATCAGTTTGCTATAGCTGCCAGAGTCTTTGTGCGTAGCCAAACTTGGCTGCAACGTCATGAGCAATCTGAAAAATACACAGAAAGTCCCAGATACCTCCACTGCGTGCTCATCGCGCTGGAGTAGCAACTCTGTATTCTCAAGTCTGGTTGTCGGTTGAAGCTATTTCAGTAACCCAGACACAATAACGTCTAAGTAAACGCCCGAGTCGATACCTTGCAACACGACTGCGTTTCTGCATCCCCTTTAGACTCAACATCTCCAATCAACATGTGCATCCATCTACACTGATACTTATCAGTCCTCCAACTCGAGATACTCGTCGTTCTCAGCCTGCTCATTCCCGCCATCATTCCCATCACTATCTTTGCCATTGCTTGTATCCTCCGGCGCTGCCACGATAACGTTCCCATCCTTATCAACGTCGCTTTCTACGTACCAGCGAATCTCATCACGAGTCGCCAAGTAAGTGCGCTCAACGCAATCAAGCGACCATTTCTCCCAATCACCGCAGTATGTCCATAGGAACTCATCCCGTGTATGCTCGTGCCAGTTATCTCCCACTTCAATACCGACTGTCTCCAACAACGCTGCGATCTCATCGCCCATGAGGAATAGTCGCGCAAATATGAGTAGCTTGTGGTCTTTCAGCAGGTATGGCGCGTGCTTTGGGAACAGCGCGACGGTCTTGCGTAGCTGAAGGGCGAGGGTGTGAGCGGTGTTGAACGTCCAAGTAGGATTCCTCAGCTCATGGAGACTGGTGTCGAAGAGCGGGGTGAGGAAGTGGACGACGGGGTATGAGCGGCGCTTTCCTGGGTCGGTAGCAATTTCTGGGTCGATGCTGCCGACGTATCTGACCCTGATCGCTCTGTATGGTAGGTCTCTGTCCGCGGCTTTCACAATGTAGCGGCTTGACCCTGCTTTCTCCCTCATGACACAATAGGTGCGTCTTAAGACTTCTGCAGCGTTTGTTTTGTTCTACTTGAGGTTGTCCGCGATCTTCTCCGCTCGCTGCTTGTGTTCTTTCGTCCTAAAGACCCATTCACCGCTCTTGAAGAGGCTGTGGGCTACAGCTCTTGCCGCATCCTGCAGTACCGTTTCCCGGAAGTGATCGAAGACCGTCGTTCTCATACGGAGTATGTGTTCGGCCGAGTCGTCTGCGCTAGCGTTCGTTGTGGGTGAGAGTTTGGGTGGCATATTTCGGTGTCGCTCGCTCGAGTTGTTGAGGACTTTGCGAAGGTGGTTGTGTTCTGCAAATGTATTAGGAACCCTCGTTTGCTAGTGAAGGGCGGAGAGCTTTGCAAAATACCTTAGATCATCAGTCTCGAGACGTCGACGACAGAGCACCACGGAGGTAGTCAGTGATGATTCGACTGACTGGGAAAACATGCGAGTGTACTGTATTGCCCCAGGAGGTTGCGTGCCGATTGAGTGTGTGAGATGATCTAGGGGAGTGGCAGCTACAGAGGTACCCAGAACCATCAAAACAACACCTGCAGCACCATACTGAGCACATCTACAATGTCATCATCACAGCATATTGCAAGATCTCACATAATTGATGGGAAAGAGATCTATTTATACATATTTATAAGGCGCACAGCGGCGCCATCCCCCCAAACCGCACCGCACCACCTCTGCCACCACCAGGAACTCAAGATGTTTTGCCCGAAGGCCCCAATCCCTCTCCACCCCACCCAGATCTACTGTCCGAAGACCGGCCTGTCAAGACGTGTCAGCTTAGCTCGTCAATGTGTGATCAATTAAGACTTACTTCCACTCATCCAGCTCACGGGCGAGCTTCCAGGCCGAAACCCCCACCTTCATCCTCTCCCTCTCCCTCTTCTCCGCCGCAACCGCTCTCTCCCACCGGAGCTTCTCCTTGATCATGCCCTTGGCCTCGGCCAGGGCGGCCACCTTGTCGGCGTTGGTGATGGCGATACGCCACACGGCGTTCCAAGATGGCCCCATGTGGGCTGCGGACGTTGGCGGCGAGGGCGCGGGAGCATAGTCGACCTCTGGGTCGAAGAAGAAAGTCATTTTGTTGGGGTCTTGATGTGTTGTAGGTATCAGAGTGTGGTATGGTGAGTATGTTGGAAAGTTTTGGAGGGTGCCAGCTAGGATACACAGACGCGCAAGACTAAAGGTTTAATTACAATTCTCCTCGCTCTTCACCTACAAACGGGCAGCTCGACCAATCAGTTCCAACCCACCCAACTCTTACTCATTACACGCCACACTCTCACTTCACCTGATCTCAAATCTCCCATCTTAAAGCTCTCTGGCTTGACCTTCTTGTGCTCACGTCCCTGCTCCCAAGCCCTTACCTTCTTCTTACTGCCATCCCACTCGACAACAACACCGACGTGATCCGGTTTCCCAACATCCATCGCGTACTTAGCATGCATTGGCCCAGTCTTACCCTGGAACTTTGCATTGCGGAAGCTGATGATGTCACCAGGACGGATCTCATCATATACTTGGGTTGACGCGTTCGCTAGGTTGGCGTACACAAGCGCGCCGTATGAGCGAGTTGAAATTGGGGGCAGTGCGTCATTGAAGGGCTTAAACAGCTCCTCAATCAGTCCCTGCGGCGTGCCATTGCCTACGACGGTGTTCTGCTTCGACTCAATAGTCTTGGCTATCGAACGACCAAACTGCTCGTACGCGTTCTCCAGCTGATCAGGACGCTGGCCGGGAGGCGGCGGCTCATTGCGCTGTTCAAGATCCACGTCGGAGACGTTGGTGGACTCGAAGCGGGCGGAAATGATTGTTTGTGAGTAGTCAAGGTAAAGAACTTTGATGAGTTTCTCCACAGTGTTGCCTGATTGCGACTCCTTCATGTCTACCAAGACGTCTTTGCGGGCTTGGAGTGATGGGGGAAGTAGCTTGGGCTGGGTCCACCAATGCGACGACATCCCCAAATCGATATCGTTTGCAATGAAACCTTGATTCGTTGCCGGGCGAGGCTGATCCATGGAAGATCGAGTTGTCAGCATTTGGGCTGCATCAAGCGACTTCCGAGTGTTCAGCATCCGAGGCGGTGCCTCCGTTGCGACTGGCGAAAACATAGAAACTGGGCGTTCCTGCGGTGGCGGCGGGACCATTCTTTCTTGAGCTGGAGGAGGCGGAGCTTGTAAAGGTGGAAGAGGCGGAGGTGCATGCTGGTGTGGAGGAGCCTGAGGTGGTGGAGGCGGTGGCCTATCGTGAGACTTCCGAGCTGGCGGGGAAGAGTACAAATCATCCTCTTCATCTGATTCACCCGCTTGGCGATGTGGTACAGGAGGCATCGATGGTGGCATGGGTGGTGGTGGGCGATTCTGCGGGGGCGGTGGCACTGCTCGAGGAGCTGGAGGCGCCGCGGCTTGCGGAAGGGGTGGGCCAGTGTACTTGAACGGGTCATATTCTTCATCGTCATCGTTCATAGGGGCGCTGCGAGTCGGTGGTGGTACCGGTGGGAGAGGCGGTGCACCACGGGGAGCATCTGTTGATGGCCGACTGGGCGCCTGCTGGGGTGGTGGAGGCGGCACTGCACGAGGTGCAGTAGGAGGCAGAGGCGGCATTCCCTGAGGAATAGTGGGCGAGCGTGCTGAAGTTGGCTCGTCTGTCAAGGTATTGTCTTCTACGCTGGAATCGCGAGCATGTGACTTCAAGGCGTCCTTGTGAGTTGCCTCGGGCGCCATGTCAGTGTCATAGTCACCTTCGTAGTCAGTCTCGCCGTCGTTACGGTCCAGTTTGCGAATCGGAAGATCTTCATGGCGCGATGGAGGTGCCTGCGTTGGTGGAGGTGGCGGAGGCGGACGGCTCATTGTAGGCGATGTAGGACCCGCTGACGGAATGGGAGGCACGCGTCTTTCTGCCAGATCCTGAGCTGGCTCGCCAGAAGCGAAATACGAAGCCCGCCTATTGGATGGCTGGGAAGAGGCAGACGGAGTAGGGGCAGTATCGGTCATCTCATCACCAGACTCAGATCCGGGCCCAGGAGAGAGAACCTGCGGAGGAGGTGGTGGTACCGGTCGAGCTAGGTACTGTCAGTGTTGTTCACGTATTGATAGCCGATATGACTTACAGGCCGATGGGACAGGAGGGGGAGCAGGACGTCCTGGATAATGTTAGAACCAGTGGAATGGACGTAAGAATTATTGATAGAGCCAAGTGCACACGCATACTAGACACGCATACAGTCATCACATATTCCGACAGACCGTCATAAGTGACATATGTCTTGGACAAGGTCTCGGAAGATGGCGACTGCAGGCGGCCTTGGGTATGGCGTACAAAAGCGCGGATTGGTTTGCGAGGAATGATAAACTTACGGTCTGTTGGAACAGGCGGAGGACCATCGCCAGTAGTTGGCCGGGCTGGCTGAGACGCGACCTCCTCTACGTCTGGCACTTCGTTCGCTGAGTGATTGCCAGTGATGGGGTGCGGAGTTTCATCCTCCTTCTCGACGGAAAGCGTGCGGTCTTCAGGTTCTGGGCTTCGGACGGGCATCATACCAGGCATACCAAACATAGGAACTCGTTGCTGAGGCATGCTGTACTCCTCAGTCTCTTCGGGCCTTTTCTCGGTGGTCGATTTCTTCTTCTTCGGTGGAAGACCACCGCCCATGGGCATACCACCTCCGAACATACCAGGCATACCGGGCATGCCGGGAATGCCACCGCCCAATCTCCTCATGCGCTCGCGTAACTCCTCCTTCCGTCTCAGCTCGGCAGTCTCCTCGTCTTCCTCTTCCTCCTCCTCTTCTTCGGGCACGTCTTGCTCATCACCAACGTTGGGCTCTTCCGTTGGGGCGGTGGGTGCTCTGGGAGGTGGCGGCGGCGGGTGCCTGCTCTTTGGTCGGTCCTGGTCCTCTTCGACACTTGTAGATTCTCCTCCAGCATCTTCAGTATCTCCAGCTGCTGATTGGTCAGCGTCGTTCTCGCTGAGGAGATCGCGGTCACGGTTGAGCGCGTCTGGAGAGCGGATATCGTGCGATGTTCGCGGAGGGCGATTCTGGTCCATGGACGCACGACCCTTGGAAGCTCCACTTGTCACGCGCTCGAGGCCAGTGTCCTCGCTGTCTTCAGCGGGTGCGTCTTGGGACTCAGTCCTCTTGGCCACAGGCGGTCTCTTTGGCTTTTCCTTGTGCATAGCCGCGGCCCTTTCTGCCTGCTCCTGCTGCTGTTTCTGCAGCAGAGCGATGCGTTCCTTCAGGCTAATCTTGGGCTGTGGCTCTTCTTCGCCCTCGTTCGCATTTGCCTTGTCATGCGCGGCCAATCCCGCGCGCTCCGCATCGTTCTGGGTCTGCGCCTGACGCTCCGCAATTTCAGGATCCTCTTCGCGACGGTAGGTCTTGACGGGTGGAGCCTCTCGAGTGGGAGGAACGTAGGCATTGCGGCTCGGCGGGGGAGCCACGAAGGGCTTCTTGATGAAACTAGGAGCGCCGCCAGAGGGCTTGAAGGGTTTGGGCGGAGGATCAGTGGGCTTGTTGAAAGCAGCAATGCGGTCCCGGAAGGCATTGTTCTTGGGTGCGACAGGCGGAGGAGCCTTCTTCGCTGGAGGAGCGGGCTTGGACGACTCCGACTGCGGCGGCAGGGCTTCCGGAGCCTTTGCGCTCGACGCAGAGCGAGGCGACATGGGTGACATGGGCAGCGGTGTTGTTTTGGCAGCGCTGGGCACCTCAATGGGAGGGGCCTGGGGCTTTGGCGGCTCTGGTTCTTGAGGCAGCACTGGCTCTGGCTCCTGCTGCGGTATTTGGGGCGTGGGAGGGGCTTCCTGCACAGGCGGCTGCTCTAATGGCTTGTGGCGCGAAGCTCGGTTGGGTCGTGGTGGCGGCTCTGGCTCGTAGCGCTCGACGAAGTTCCTGGGGAAGAGGCCATCGTGCTTGGTGCCGCTGTCGTCGGTGTATTCGCCCACGTACCAGTCGTCGCCCTCCTCCTCGGTGACGGAGATGATCTGGCCGACCTTGAAGCCCAAGTCGTCTTCGTGGTTAGACACATAGTCGAAGACGGCCCTGACTTTGTACATGGCGGCGGGCGGTGTCGATGGCTACAGAGGTGGTCCGGCGGCGGAAGACGCAATGGGGGTGACAGCTGCGGTCCCTGCCTGACAGCGCTACAGCAAGAATGTGTGGGAGCTCTCTAGGTGCACGGCGGGTCTCGGACGTGTAGCTGCGATGACGCCCATGTCAGCCTGGGCAGCAATGCGGGACGCGCGGGTCAACGGGGCAGCCTACCATTCAATGCTTGCACCCATACAGCTCTGGGCGAGGGGCAGTGGGAGATATGAGGGCTGCTGCAGGTGCCTCGTGCGAACAAGTGTGGTGACGAAGCTCAAACAGCCCCGCCCAAGTCCCCGACGCTCCGCCAAGCACGCCCAACGAGGTTCCACTTCACACTCTAGCCACGACGATCCCAACACCAACACAGACCCGTCATGCCGCCCAAGTCCATCCTGAAGAACTCGACTGTCTCTACCAACGCGCCTCCGGGCAGGAAACCTGTGAATGCGCGCCACCTTGCAGTTGCCCGCCACCATGCGACGGTACTTGAAGACCGCAAGCGCGTTGAGGCAGAGGTGCTGGAGGCCGTCATGACCCTCATGGACTTTCCCACCTCGCCAGACGCCGATGCTAAGCGACCTTCGCACTCCGACGCTCACTTCTTCCAGAAAGCAGTAATTCCCTTTCAGCCCGCCGACTACGACGCCCTCATCGAGGAGCGCAACATTGCCGACAAGTGCGGATACGCTCTGTGCCCGCGCCCCAAGAAGAAGGCGCGATCCTCCGCGAGGAAGCAGTTTGTTGACACAGATCACGGCGTTGAAATAGTAGACAGGAAGGTGCTCGAGGTGTGGTGTTCAGACGACTGCGCAAGACGCGCACTCTACGTCAAGGTGCAGCTGAATGAGGAGCCGGCGTGGATGCGACACGGCGGGTACGGCGACAAGATTGAGCTCATGGTCGACAATGCCGACGAACATGAAAAGGCCCTACCGCTACGTCTCAAACAGGAGAGTGCGACCACGGCTGACGCAGATGACGAAGCAGACCTGGACGCAGCCTGGGCCGCCCGCGCAGACGCCATGACTGATCTTGCGCTCGAACGAGGCGAGAAGCCGGGCAACCCTACCAAGGCAAACAACGACCTCGTCCAGGACCAGATCCTCGAGCGCTCTTCCAGCAACGCGCCGCCTCAACCACCGTCGCTTCCTGCGCAAACATCTGACCACACCATGGCTATTGAAGGGCACGTTCCACGTATAAACAGGAAAGACAAGGACGACGATGAAGACGATGATCAGGACTGGGACAAACACTTGCCTGGATGAGTGGGGATGACACCAGTCATTGCATTACGACATTCATACACCGGCATGCACACGTAGAAGACTGCAATGATATGTATAGACCACCCAGCGCGCGGTATGCACTTCAAAGACCATGCGGATAAAACCTTCGGTTGAAGAGGTGAGTCCTGACCTGAAAGATGGCGGACAGCATATTGCACACGCCAGAAGGGTATGCATGTCAGAAATGCTCGCGACATGTGCGCTGAGGCGGAGGACGAGTCACGCATGCATGGAGGGAATGAGATCTTGAATAGCTTCTGTAGATATCTATCAACGTAATAGTCCATCAACATGAAGGTGCATTTAACACCGTCTCGTGCATCTTGACGTGGTGATGTGACCCAGCCTGCAACCCATCAGAAGCCGCGGAGGTCTCGCACGGGCCACTCCGCCGCAAACTCCACTCGACATTTCGATATGCACATCGGAATCATCACTTCAGCCGCCATTGAACGCCCACACGCGGCTGTCGCATCGCCAACATGGCTCTAAGCCGCCAGTCCCTCTCGCCTACTTCCAACCTCCTCCGGAATTCTCGCCTCTTCTCGCTGCCCAACCCACTTGCTCGACCGCCCGTGAGCGACACCTACGGCGCGGGCATCTCCAAGTCCTCCGACACCGCGACCCTGCCATACCCGACCCACCAAGCGATTGCAACGACAAAGTCCTCATTAGCACGTGGCGATTGGGGTCTGAAGCGGCCGATTCCGTCAAGGAGTCATCTGGTACAAGTGAGCGACCCAGTACTGAGGGTTACTCAGCTGGATACTATCGAGCATGTTACGGACTTCGAATCGGCTGCAGATCATGTGCGGACAAGACAAAAGTGGGAAGAAATGGGAGTGCCAATGATCAAGGGCCTGTCGTTGATGAGAAATCGCGGCGTGAGCGACGACTTGCTACCGGGAGCTTTTGAGGTTCGGGATGATACTACGAGTTACGACACGGATCTCGGACTGGATGAGGCTGGACTTTACCTAAAGGCTCTCAAGAAGAGCATGCCTTCGGAGCGAGTCAAGGCTCAATGGGACGACTTCAACGCCACCTGGAGAAAGAGGTGGGAAGAAAAGCTCGCGAGTTTCAGGGCTCGTGGATGGGGCCTTCACCTTTCCGACTTTAAATCCTTTCAGAAAGAAGCGAGCAGGAAGTCATCAAACGATAAGCCTTGGCTAGAGGAATTCGTAGCCCTTCAGAAAGAGCATAGGGATGCAAGGAACGCTCTGAAGCAGCGACTGAAAGCCCCGCAGACTCCAGGATCATTGCAGTTTACACCCTTTACCCCGCCACCCGTGGATCCCGTCGTTCATAATACCAGGCGATGGAAACACGAGGGACCTTGGCTTCCTGGTATGGGTGCCGAGGACTTCATCTCTTTTCTTACCAAGAAGCTCGCAGGCCGCAAGAAGGAGTTCAATGACTACCTAGTCGAGTATGTCAAGAACGAGATATACGCCACTCGTCGACTTGCCGCTTCCAGATCCGGCGAATTGGCACCAATTGACGCCCAAGAAGCCGAAGTCTGGCAAGAGCAACGAGAAAAGGCCTGGCGTCACATCACAAAACCCGAAATTGATGCTGGTATCAAGGCGCTAAGGCAAGAGACTGCAAAGGACCCACTAAGCAGCAAGCTCGTCAGCAAGTTGATACTTCCCTTCTTGAAGCTCCCAGCCATCAGATTCAAGCACACCGCATACAATCCAGACGCTGCCAAGAATGAAGTCGATCAGTACCAATTCGACCAAGAAACCGCGCCCCTCTCCACCCACCCTTCAGCCGGACTCGGCTATCTTCGTCACAAGTCATACCTCGCCAATCACCCCATCCTCGGTCCCCAAGAAAACCCTGCCCCCATACCTGCTCGTGTCATGCAAGCCAGACGCACAGGCACAAAGAACGAGCTCTACGCCCGTCTAGGAGTAGGCGGCTTTGTAGCAAACGACGACCACAGCGGCACAACTTCATACACTGTTCCCAGGAACTATGCGGCTGCCAAGGACGTCGAGACAATTGATGTGGACACGCCCGGTGGCAGGAAGATTATGGTGCAACCCCAGTTTGGTAGCGTCACCAACGACGGGCGCATACAGATCAAACTGAAGCGATCCGTTGGTCAGGAGGTTGCTGTTGGCAGAGGCGAATTCGACGAGAAGCCGCCAGCAAGACCGTATGCTGAAAAGGTTTCTTTCAGGAATTTGGTCGGTGGAGCAAAGAAGAGTGGGATCAAGGAGTTGGATGAGCAGAGTGAGCAGGGTCAGCAGTTCAGTGAGTTCCTGGAGAGCACGAAGCCTCAGGGACATGCGCAGCCACCGAGGGGTTTCCCTGGGATGGCTGAGGCGTTGCGAGGGGACTAGATGGTACAACATATTTGTATTATACTGCACACATTGTATTGTATGAAATAAACATGAGATATCTACACACCTCTCGTAGTCGCTTTTCAGTCACAAGTCTCGCCAGCTATACTCAGAAAAACGTGTCTATTTGAGCCTTACTAGACATCGAGATGCCAAGTCTTGTACGGGACCCAACACGACATGATCCGGTGCAACTATAGCGAAGAAGCCTCCGGATACCAACGCGACGGGGCAGGCAACAACCCAGTGTGAGTACCTCCATTGAAAGATCATGGGTCCGCGCTAGTGGCGAGAATAGTTGCCTACATTCTGAGACATCTGGCAGGCTCCGACTTCGGCTTGGCAGAACATGATATCGAAGGAGGTCGGAGGTGCCGAGGATGTAGAATTGTGCTGCCGTACCGCTTGTCTTAGCTCCTAGAGTGGGCATGATAGCGAGAAAATCCCAAGTCTTTGTTCAAATGTGAGACAGGTGGTAGGCTGGGGCCTATTCGATTTTCTCTGATGTGGACCTTGCGTTGGGAGTGGCATGTGATCGTGTCCATGCCGTTCGCAAGCATTGCACTTGAGTCTGGTCCTACCGTCCATGATTTCGACCTCTACTTCGGTGAAGTCTCGCCATGCTTAGCAACTCACTGCAACACACCGTTCAACAGAGGTTTTCACCAAGCTCGGTTCCAGCGATGGAACCTGATCTATTCATACCTAACTTTTGGCCTAAGCCAGTCATTCAGCTGCTATCGTACCCATGTAACAAAGCTTGTTGCTCCTGTGCAAGGCTGTAGTTGGTTCTCAGTGGCGATGGGGCCGAAACCTGGTAGTGGCATACGTTCTGCTTACAGGTAGACCAGGCAACCCGGGACGGCGCGTATATGGTTCCTGTGAGACGTGAGAAGAAACGTGGCTTAGTTTTGATGGAAGTGTCGGATAGACTTGCTTATGAGACATCAGCAACATGGAGTCGATACTGCAATGGGCTGTTTGTCCGAACTTGACTACCTTAATAAGCATCCGAACAGTAAAGATACAGTGAGACGCTTCCGCCCCGTACCCTTCGCTTCCCAGATGTTGGTAAGTGTAGCGCTGCTAAGCGATACGTTTCAGCAGCAGTGCCATCATTCTCGAGTACGAGGTCGCTTCTCAGTAGGGTGTAGTCTTCAGTACTGCAGCGATGACATTGGTTGGACAAACTAAATTTTACGTATATGTACGCAATGTACAAGCAGGCGGTGAGCTCTCGTAGCTCTCAAGTTCGCAGCGGTTCTTCAGCCACCGATAGCGTCAACAAAGCTCGCAGAAAGTAAATTTTCGCGTGTGGAAGCCGTCATGGAGGCTGAGCAGCTATGTGACACTGATAGCGGATTGGCGATATGGTGTGGCACAGCACGCCTGAGGCCATTGTCGGCCTAGTCTGTTGAGGCGTCGTGGCTGAGGCAGTAATATCGATGGACATTGAGTGCACCATGGAGATTAGCCGGTATGTCGTTCGTGAAAAGACGGTGGAATGAAACTCTCGTGACAGTGGGACCTGTTAGCCGGAAGAGCATCTGGCAAGCAACGTGACAGGTGAGATATCCGAACAGTACCGAGTCTTCCAAGCTCATGGTAACGCTTTGTCAAGACCGGCATGTGCGAAGTACATGCTTCAATTCTGCCAATTACAACCCGATCTCACTCCGTCATCCATCTCTTCGTCCGCGGATGAAAGAGTGCGCGGGACCAACGCCGAAGTGTGGCTGCTCGATGTGTGGCCATGCGCACCTTCATCAGGCCAATTCCCTTTTGGGATCTGTTGACGCAAATAGCGGTGTCGCAAATTGAGGGAGCGGCTCGCTTCTCAGCCACTTGGTAGTTATTCACCAGTCGAAGGATTCAACCCCCAAAGTATCAGAAAAGTGACGGAAAGCGCAACTCTTACAGCTGGTGGCTGAGGCTGTGAAGCGACGGAAAGGCCAGGGGCCAGGGGGGTGCCACCAAACGGCTCGCAAGCAGCATGCATCGGATGACCGCCACATCCGGCAAACAAAGATGTTTGTGGGACTGTCGCATTCACGCTGACGGCGGTGGAAATTTGTAAGGAGGTCAATCTGTTGTCGCGGTCGGTCAATTGCAGCCTCTCGGTGCTACCTACGAGTTGGCGCTAATTGAGGGTTGGAAGAAGGCGCTGACGAAGACTCACCTCCCGCGGGCAGGTGCGACGCACACTGTCGAGTGCTCTTTCCCGACTTCGGCTGGGTCAAGGCAGCAAGGTGGCCATGAGCTCACAAGCTCAGCAATTCGCCTCCCCACCCTCATCAATGGTGCGCATCACGGCCATTTGTGAGCACCTCTTGCGCGATTCTGCAAGAAATGCAAGAAAACTAGCGACGCGCAATATACTCGCGGTGTCGAAGTTTGAGAACGCGACGCATGAGGCCAGTATGCGAACGATGCGTCCGCTGCTCGCGTGCAGCGTGGGTGCATCCCGTCTCCCTTTAGCGCCCGCCGCAACGTGATGCCCCACAGCCAGTTGAGCGGCCAAGCACCCTTCCCTCTATCCATATCACTACTCGAGGCAAAGCAATATGGTCGGGCATTGGGCGCCGATCAGCAAAATGCCCGGCTTCTGGTGCCTGGCATGGAGGCCCGCCTGCCTCACGACACGGGAATGACTGCATAGCCCCTACCATCATTCGCCAGTCTTTCAGCTGAGAGCTGGCGATCCGGATCTCTTTCATCGCTAACAGCACTAGCACGGCCTCTATGTCTTCATCAAAGGAGGATGTCATCAGGCGAAGTCACTAAAACCGAGCTTGAGGGATGGTGACGGGGAGGACGGGGTGCGCTCGAGCACCGGCAATTTATTGCTGCCCATCGAGTCTGAGACAGGTTGTGCGGCCGCGCGGATGCGCAAACCGGCTACCAGTTGCGACAATTTTTCCAATTCCCCAATTGCATCGGGTCAGTCTCCCTCTTCATCACCCTCAGGCACAGGGCACCGGTCAGAACCACGGCCCACTCGCGGCTGGGCGGTGTCTTCGGTCGCTCGCAGGCTGTGCAATTCACCGCTGCGCAGCCCTAAGGAATGGCCCCAAAGACGCCCGGATCATGTTCATGCATTCCGTCCTGCCTGCCGCTGCGGCCGCCTGGCACTGGCACTTTTTTTCTGCCCGCCCGTTTCGGTCATCTGTGGTAAATCTGCTCCTTGTCCACTCATTGTGCACTTTTCCAGGCTACAACCTGCGCCGCCTTGCACTTAAAAGGAATCCTCGCCCAGTAGGGCTGCACTTTACTTTCCTCGAAGCTGCATAGCTCCCTGCACATGATCCTCTCTATTATTACCCCTTCGCCGCTCTGACTCTTTCGCTTTTCGGCCCATGTGTCCTTGAATCTACGAGTACACTCATCCTACTTGCCGCTTGTCTTAGTCGGGCCGTCACCTGTTCCTCAAATACCCTCAGTCTCCCCAATATCGCCAAAACATCGAAACTACGCAAATCGACCGGTATCCTGATCAGTTTACACTTTGTGTCATCTGGATACACACGTCATCAAGACACTTTACCGTCCGGTACTTCCATATCCGCCTATCCCCCGACGGGCTCATTACCCCGGATAAGCTGGTTTGACATCATACTTCACTGAGAACATCCAGCCCAGGACAAAAGCTTGAGGCAAGGAGTTCTATTACCTTCTTCGCCTCTAGGAGATCTACCAACTCCGACTTAACCCATTACACATCGCCATCATGTGTCGGATCGAGGAGCGCGAGGAGTTCACCCCTGATGGGCGACCCCTGACATCTACCCGAGCCTGCCTGTGTGCGAAGGCACGTGGGGACAGACCATGCCGAGACGCAATCCACGTACCCATTCGATACATTCCTAGAAGTGGCTCCATGGGCACACCGTCTCCGACGAATCCACCTACTCCCACCACTTCAACATACTTGGTCCAAACACGTCGTCCATCTGGCAGTGGTAGCCGTCCCTCCACTCGGGATGGTCAACGACCTATCAGCAACGAGATTTTCATAGAGTTTGGCACGAAGAAAGACAAAGGCAAGAAATACCCATTGATCTCGCTCTCCTCAAAACCCTACGATCGGTCTTCACTCGGCTCTGTTGGATCTCATGATATCGCTGTGAACTCAGTGGGCTCTGATGCGTCCTACACTTACCGAACTGGCTTCCCGGAAGCCCCTTTGCCTCCACCAGCAGCCTTCGATCATCACAGCAGCTACCTTACAACTCCTACTGCACCATACGGTCAAAGCTCTCGCCATGTTCCGTCAGCGTCTTCCAGTCAGACGCCCTCGCTTTACGTCGCGTCGGACGCAGAGTACGACCCACCGGCTAGGCAGCGAAGTACAAAACGCTCTTCCACGGTGATTCACAACCCACCTACTGCTGTTCCGTCATCGCCACCTCAGCGTCAGGGTGGTATGTTATCTGATTCATACCGAACGGCCAGGGTTGCTCCACGAGAGACGTACACATCAGACCGCCCGCACCCACTCGACTACGACGCCTTTGCTGATCACTCGAGTTCGTCTTACACTAGCTCGGGCGCACCTGAAGGCGCTCGTCGCACCAAAACTGGCGACGAGCGACAAAGGCAGTCCAAGTCGAGTCGGCATCAAGAAGAGTCTGACCGACGGGTGGCTGATGAGCGTGACAGAGAAGATACTGCCAGACGCGTACATTTCGAACCCGCCCGTGCAGACGGCCGCGCGAATGAGAGGGCAGAAAAGCTCTTCGCTGAGAAGGAGAAAGATCGAGCGTTGGCCAGGGAAGAACTTCGTCGTGTTAAGGAGGAAGAACGCCTCAGACAAGAGAGGAAGGACTCAGAAGCCAAGAAGGCCCAAGATCGTAAGAAGGAGAAATCAAGTCCTCCAACGATCGACTATACGAAGAAGCGGCCGAACGCATCACGCAGACAATCCTCCTCTATGACGTCAGCTGAGCTAGCAGATCAACGGCGCTTGATCAAAGCCGAGGAACAACAGATGCGGAGCG